GTCCTCCTGGACAGAACCTCCGGGTGTTTGCAGGAGTACCTCCATGTTACATCCACCACCTGTAGGAGGAAGAGACGTTTATCTCAGAAGGAGAGGAGACCAGAGCTGCAGGTGGAGCACCGGGCTGGTCTGATGGTTCCTCTGACCTGGTCCTTAGAGAACGCCAGAACGTAGGCCAGCTTCTTCCCCCAGCCCACCTCGTACAGCAGCGGCTTATCGCACGCGTTCTCGCAGGAGTCGCAGTGCAGCCAGCGGCGCTGAGACTCCGAGTAGACCTCCGTCCAGACGTGGTCTGAAAGCAGACGGACGCAGCCTGAGCCTCAGCAGGACCCACGCAGACCTGAAGCAGAGCCGTACCTGTGCTGTCCCAGACGTAGCGCGCCTCCAGGCCCAGAGCCCTGCAGCACAGCGTGAAGCAGTTAGCCCACTCTCCACAGCGCCCCCTCCTGGTTTCTAACAGCTTCTCAGGATGATTGTAGCTGCAGGAAACAAAAGCAGCAGGTCAGCGTGCGAGGAGCCATGATGGAGAACAGGAGGATTATGGGAAATTAATCTAGATCAGGGGTCTGCAACCTTTATATCCACAGAGCCTTTGGGCCCCGAGTCCGACGAGTTAAAGTCGTTTAGAGCCACAACATATAAACTGAGTTTTTCAACAACACGTTATATTTTATACTTTTTTTTTTCTATAACCTCATATAGGAAAATAGTTTCCATCTTAAACAACCAACAATTTATGTATTTTTAGCTTTTAAAATAATATTAAAACACATAAATTCAAATCTTATTAAAGGAGAAATGGCTCTATAACATATTTCTGGTTCTTTTAATTTAATTCTTTTTCATCTTATAAAAACCACTGAAGCGTTTTAGATATTTAGTACATCATTTAATAATAATTGAACTTAATTGATCTCACACTGGAGAAATTCCCTCTCTGCATTTAACCCCTCCCCCCGGGGAGCGGTGGGCTGCCATTGTGCGGCGCCCGGGGAGCAGGGTGGGGTTACGGTTCTTTGCTCCCACAGAGCTCAGAACCTCAGGATTCCCAGCTCTATGCCCTAACCACTAGGCCGCCGCGCCTTTAGCTCTTCTATAGATGTTAGCCGCTATAAGGAGCAGCAGTAGCGGGTCCACAGAGCCGCAGGTTTCAGAGCCCTGATCTGCTCTAATAATGGAATCCACAGCTCCTCCTCCAGGCGGCGCCACAGACCCACCGTGGGAACCTGGTGGACAGCTGGCAGCTCTGACAGTAGTGGTTCTCCACCCGCTGGGCGCCCCAGCGCAGCTCCTCCGCCGTGGGACTGAGCGCCTGTCCGTGTGTGGTGGGACCCCCGCAGCGGCTGCAGGGCAGGCGGTCCACCCAGGAGAAGAAGTCCTGCTTGAACCACCGCAGCAGCTCCAGCAACAGGCAGTCCTCCAGTCCGACTTTAGCATCTGCACACAGAGCACAGCAGGGTTCCCTCACTGGGAGCACAGCGGGGTTCCCTCACTGGGAGCACAGCAGGCCCAGCGGGTGGTGGCGGGGGGCTCTCACCTGGGTCGGCCTCCTTCAGCTCCGTCAGCTTGGTCTGAGCGGCGGAGGACAGCTGCTGGTGGGGCATGGCGGTGCGGGCCTTCAGCTGCAGCTCGGCGCTCTCATACTGCATCACATGCTGGAAGTTGGACTGGAGCGTCACAAAGAAACTCATGCTGCTCTCCTGGGGGAGGAAACGGATCAGAACCACAGAGATCAGAACCGCCATCTAGAAGCAGAACATCTAGAACAGCTGAGTTTGTTCGTCTAAATGAAAAAGTTTCATATGATGCTGGTCTGAAAGCAGCAGTGAACGGATCGGCTCCGCCCAGCGGCGAACATCTGGATCCTACACCCTGCTTCAGATAACCTCCCACAATCCTTTGCTGCACTGTCACATGACCAAACAAAGCCCAGAAATAAAAACTGGATGAGTGAAACATGGTGGTCCAGATGTACTGATTGGACCGATCCTGAACTTCCAGCCCACCAGAACCCTCCCTAACTTGAAATCCACCATCCTCCGTATCCGATCCTGACCGCCTGCGCTAAGCAACGCCTCCAGGCTCCACTGTTCCTGCCGTCCTGCTCCGCTCACACTTCCTCTGGGTCATGGAGAGCATGCGCCATATTATTATTAAACTCAGGAGGAAAACATGTGGAAACGCTTCATTTAACAGACATATAAAAAAATCCCCATCAGCACCCGGCAGACATGCAGCTTCTGCCCAAATATTTCCTTATGTTGCTGATTTTTGTAGCAGGGAGAACTAGGATCATATGAACTGTGTTTGCTCTCTGCTTCCAAACTCAGCATCTCTCCATTCCAAGCTCTGAGGTTCACTTTGGATCTGATTAAACTTTTAAACCTGGAGATGAGAAACCTGCTTCCTGGTCTGTTGAAGAACCGAGAGTTTGCATCCACACATTTAATAATACGGAGGATGTGGGATCTGAGGGTTAGGTTCTGTCAAAACTGGACCTTACCTGAGGTTCTGACAGGTTTCAGACCGCCTGTCGATGCTGCTGGATTCTAGAAATGTTTCAGTTTTTATCCTAGAGTTTCTCTTTGGGTTTGGTCTTTTATCTATAGTTCTACAGCTGGCCGTCAGGTTCTGGTTCTGTTTGTCTGAACTCTGCTCTCTGCTCTCTGGATCTACGCTGCTTCCTGGTAGACTGCTCTAAACCTCACTGGTCGGACTGGTTCCGCTGTCGCCTGATTGGACGGCTGCTGCCCCTGACAACCAATCAGCTCTTATTTCTCTCTGCTTGCCTGATCAGCAGCCAAACTATGCAGGAAATGGACCCTTTGCTCTGTAAAGACGTTGGCTTCAGGCTCCTGCAAACGTTCCTACCAGGAACAGAAGGTTTAGATCCGCTCTGCCTGAGATGATCAGGACTCTCATCTTTACTCTATCTCTACAATTACTTTGCAAATTAATTAATCAGTTGATTATTTTCTCAATCACTAAATGAAACCAAGTGAAACTTAAACTTTTCCACCTGAGGAGTTCTGCATCGAGCAGATAGAAACATTTTATTTTTATCTTAAATGCAAAATGTTTCTATATTATTTTATTATATAGGTATAATTCCTGCTCTAAGTGGGTCGCTCTGCCAGCTTAAGGAATGTTTTACCATTAATAACTAAATTAGTTGATGATTATTTCAGTAATTGATTAATAGTTTCAGCTCATTAGATAAATGGCTCCTTGGATCAGGCTGCCGTTAACGTCGCCTGCTCTGCATGAGATGAGCTGAACTCTGATTGGATCAGATCCAAACCCGTGGCAGCAGGTCTGGCTGTGGGCGGAGCTCCTGTCAGAATGTTCCACAGAGGCGTCCCTCATGGCTTCCTTGGAGCATTCATAACGACTCATCAGGCGAAGCTGCTGATGCATCATTAGTGCATCAAACGCTTCAGTTTGACGGTGAAACACAAAGACAGCAGCAGAACGTAGAGAATAAACTAAAGGACCAACAGAGAGCGTATTTACCAGGGATGATGGCTGCTGGGCAGATGGTGGGCTGGGAGCTGCCGCGGCGCCCTCCGGTGCCGGCGTGGGGGCCTCTACAGGCGGAGCAGCAGGTTGGACGGGACGGCCCCCGCTCATCCTCAGGTCCCGCTCTGCAGCTATAGATTCCCTGATGAGCTTCAGCTGATCCACTGACGCCGACTGGGGGAAGACCAGGTGGGTCTCAGCCTGGAGACGGAGAGGTCAGCTGAGGTCACGGACACAGCGGCGGCAGACGGAGGCCAACTTCACCTACCTCCTCAAATCCCATCTCAAAGAGACATTCCACAGCTCCTCTGACGGGCAGCAGCTTGGTGGAGAAAGTGGGATTACCGATCCGGATGGAGCGATACTTCTCCTCACGAGGAAACCTGGTGGGAGGGACAGAGGAGCTCAGACATCAGGTTCTCTGCAGCAAACACCTCTAGAAAAAGGCCAGTTATTAAAACGTTTGGCTGAAACCAGCATGAATCCAGCCAGAGCCTGGAAGGACCCCAGGTTCAAAGGTCATTAAAGCCAGAAAACCCCCAAGATCTGAACTCCAACAGACCAGCAGCTTCACCTGCAGCTCCATCCAAACCATGAAAACCAGTCAGTCAGCCTCCTGAAGCAGGCGGCAAAGTGGTTACCCCACCGCTTAGGTTCACACCTGATCTAACCCACTGGACCTGGAACTGCCAGGCATGGTAGTGGCAGTATAATCCTGTGGGACCTCCAGCCTTTCAAACAGGCCAAAGTGATCTGGGATTGGCTGACCTGAAGCAGAACCGAGGCCATAGTGGGGGGGTCACCCTACAGACGGGTCAATAATAATAATTTCCCTCCTATGGTTCCACCGTCCTCCCCACTCCGGTCCTTTCCCCGGCCTCTCCTCCTCCTCAGGCAGGGGAAAGGACCCGAGCATCCGGCCCCGGCTGTCTCAGCGGTACCTGATGATATTGTCGGCGTATGTGAGCAGCAGCTTGGCCGCGTCCAGGAACACCTCGGTGGGGTTCTCAGTCAGAGTGGACACCGCTGGAGACAGAGCCATGGTGGCTGCAGCTGCTGCTACTTTCAAATAAGCTAAAATGCTTCGCCGGGCCTGGGGTCCTTCAGGAAGCTGCCCACACACTGCCTGGCTAAATATAAACACTGTGTGTGTGCGTATGTGTGTGTATATGGTAACAGTTATATTTTGTCAGTGATTATAAGTTAAAAAGGCGCAGTTGTTTTTTTTTTCTTGCTTATTTAAAAACATTTTTGGACGTTTTTTATTAGTTTTTCGAAATAGTATTTTATTGTATTATTGTGGACATTCGGAGATGGCGTTCACCACCGACACCTAAAACAGGCTAAAAACAATCAGCTGTTAGCCTCTCGGCTATCTGCTAGCTCCGTCCGGCTAGGCTGCTAGCTTCCTCCGGTTAGGCTGCTAGCCTCCTCCGGCTAGGCTGCTAGCTTCCTCCGGTTAGGCTGCTAGCTTCCTCCGGTTAGGCTGCTAGCCTCCTCCGGCTAGGCTGCTAGCTTCCTCCGGTTAGGCTGCTAGCTTCCTCCGGCTAGGCTGCTAGCTTCCTGCGGCTAGGCTGCTAGCTTCCTGCGGTTAGGCTGCTAGCTTCTAACTTTAAAATGTCTTCTCTGTCCCGGTCCGGCTTGAGGAAGCTTCTACTCGGTCAGCATCACAGCCGAGCTCCGCCGCAGAAAGCCGCCTTCAGTTCCTCCCAGTGCGGACAGCAGCCTCTGGGGAGGAGGAGGGTAGTGATCACTGGGATCGGACTGGTGTGTCCCCTGGGGACGGGGACTGCTCTGGTCTGGGACCGCCTCATCAGGGGCCAGAGCGGGCTGGTGGCTCTGGACCCTGAGGAGTACAGAGGGGTCCCCTGTAAGGTGGCTGCCGTGGTGCCCAGAGGGTCTGAGGAGGGACACTTTAGCGAGGAGAGCTTCGCTCCCCGCGGGGAACTGAACAGCATGTCCCCGGCCACCGTGATGGCCCTGGGTGCCGCTCAGCTGGCTCTGGAGGACGCAGGCTGGAGCCCCCAAAGCCCAGAGGAGCACCTCAGCACCGGGGTGGCCGTGGGCATGGGGATGGTGTCCCTGGAGGAGATCGCTCGCACCTCCGCCGCCTTCAGGGAGCGGGGCTACAGAGGGGTGAGCCCCTTCTTCGTTCCCCGCATCCTGGTCAACATGGCGGCGGGACACATCAGCATCAGACACGGCCTGAAGGGCCCCAACCACGCGGTGTCCACAGCCTGCACCACCGGGGCCCACGCCATAGGGGACGCGGCGCGGTTCATCGCGCACGGGGATGCTGTTGCCATGGTTACGGGTGGGACAGAGTCCTGCGTGAGTCCTCTGGCCGTAGCCGGCTTCGCCAGGGCGCGCGCGCTCTCCACCAGATGGAACGATGAGCCCCCCCTGGCCTCCAGACCCTTCCACCCGGACAGGGACGGCTTTGTGATGGGGGAGGGGGCGGCGGTGGTCCTCCTGGAGGAGCTGGAGCACGCGCTGAGGAGGGAGGCCCGGATCTACGCGGAGGTCCTGGGCTACGGCCTGTCGGGGGACGCCAGCCACATCACTGCACCCACTGCAGACGGAGACGGAGCCTTCAGGTCAGCCTTCAAACAAAGGCTCCCCACAGCACCATGCAGCCCCCACCGTGCTTCAGCGAGGGGAAGATCTGAGCATGTAGAGGAGGGGGAGGATGCTGGGGGGAGTTCACCATGCAGGGCTGCAGCTGTTAGAGCATCAGACAGGTTCTGTTTATGGAGAAACCCTCTGGATCTTATCCCTTTATACGCCTCAATAGTGTTACTGGAATCAGAAAACCTTTGACCTTTGCAACATTATGGATATTTTGATGTTATAAAAAATGTCGCTGTAATAACCAGAAACACCAACTTGCCCGAATATGTTAGGAAAAATAACAAAAGTGCTTCTATAAGAAATTCATAACACTCTGAGTGAAAGAAACACTCCATTTGTAATGCGAGTGATCAAAAACGCCACGTTGCTCTATAAAGGGTTGACCAGATTAAGAGAAAACCTCCAGAAATGCATCTATAGAATCTGTAAATAAAAGGACAATGAAGTTGAACTAATTCTGTGTCTAAAGTCTAGATCAGATAGAAGGACTCTGAGCTCTGAGCCGTATCCTAACACCGAGGCTTCATTCCTGATATATTTATCCACTTTTCTGAGGTCAACATTGTGGGACCACTTTTGGTATAACCTTCTGCTGCTGCTGCTGTGGTGGGAAGAAAATGAGGATTTTTACATCTGTTCTTCCTTAAAACTGTGCTTCATTTTATACGCCATTTAGTCAACATAAATGCATTAAGCCGCATTATTTTAGCCAACAACCAGCCCCGCTGACAGGAAGGTGATGGAGCTGCTGTAGTCTGGGCAGCTCAGTGTCAATCAGTGTTTGTCTGAAGGAAGCCAACATGAAAAAGCTTTAAGAGGAAACGAAGCAGCCATGAGCTGCTGATGGATCATCTCTGACCTCATCTATGACATTAATGTTTGATTAAAACAAACTTAACGTGTCAGGGAGTTAAAAAGACTTTCTTCTAGAGATGATTCACATTTTGGACACATTTACAGTGTTGATGTTGTCTCACAGAATACTGACACCTGCTGGACGTTTAAAGACACTACAGGCTGATGATTGACTTAAACTGAATAGATCTGATGATTTAGAACAGTGATATCAGTAAGTTATTGGAGGTTATTTATTTTATTTCAAATCTGTTTAAATTGAAAATATCTTTGATATTTTTAGATGCAGCCAATAAATCATGTAACCATAAATCAACCTAGAAATTTAGGGTAAAAAGTGAATGAGGATGCTTGTGGACTAGGATTTTAAATCAGATTTTTAAAACAATAAGTACAGTAAATACAGTACATCAACTAAGAGTCAATTTGAAATGAACTTTAATTCAGAAAAGATGAGTGATAACTGAGAGGAGCAGGGTTACACAACAGGAAGATTAAACAGATATGAGATCAAAATGGTTCCAGTGAGCTGAAACCTTCTGTCTGGGTCTCTGCAGCCTGACTATCGGTGCTCTGCTTCAGTAAATCATTTGATCCTCTGTCTGATGTTCCTACAGGTGCATGGCTGCAGCCCTCAGAGACGCTGCGCTCTCTCCAGATGATGTCACTTACGTCAACGCCCACGCCACCTCCACGCCTTTAGGCGACGCTGCAGAAAACGCAGCCATTAAGAGACTCTTCCAGCGCAGCACCGACCGCCTGGCGGTTTCTTCTACCAAAGGAGCCACGGGACACCTGCTGGGCGCCGCCGGGGCTCTGGAGGCGGCCTTCACCGCTCTGGCCTGCTACCATGGGGAGCTGCCCCCAACCCTCAACCTGGACCGCACTGAGCCTGAGTTCAACCTGAACTACGTCCCCTGCAGAGCTCAAGCATGGAGGACTGAGGGCCGGCGGGTGGCGCTCACTAACTCCTTCGGGTTTGGAGGCACCAACGCATCGCTGTGTCTCAGCAGTTTCTCAGGCTAGATGGAGTTTAGCTGCATTTTCACCTTCTTTCAATAAAAAAACAGGTTTTCTCAAAGAACGACAGAAAGTCGGCCTCCTGGTCCACCTGCTGCTGCTGGTTCTGGATGAAATCTGACTGGGAGGGACCATAAGGTGGTCTGACGTCCATGACATGTTTTAAATCACCAGAAAAGTTTATGTATGAAATTTAAAGTTTAATTAATGAATAAAGCAGGTTGTTTGCAAAACCATGAAAAATAGAATTTATTGTCTCCCAATAAAGAAACTCAGGAGCAGCCAAGAGTGTGGCTTCACTCACCACCAAAAATACTAATCTGAATCCATCCATCCATCCATCCATCCATCCATCCATCCATCCATCCATCCATTTTTCATCCCACTTTTTCCCAGCTGGGGTGTGGAGGGCTGCTGCTACCAGTATAAATCCTGCAGTTTAAAAACACTTTGTAGAAGTTAGAGGATCAACTTCAGCTTTTTACTCCAGTAAAAGTGTAAAAATACAATTTTTAAAACTACTTAAAGTGTAAAAGTAATGCAGGAAAAGCTGTTAAGGCCAGAAGCTTTACTGCTCTAATCTATTAAAGGAACATTTTTCTACAATTCTGGATGATAATTTCCTTATACTTCATTTTCTTAGTTTTATAACTAATGGAAACAGAGTCACATTTAAATTTAACTATTTATTTTGGTATGTGGTGAACAACAAGTTGGGGCAGCACCGAGTTCAACCACAGAGAAATTAATTGTCTGGATGAAACTAATTATATTGATGGTTTTTATACTTTTAAATACCTACGGGCCATCATGAAAATGAGCTTAAATGAAATAAAACGAGTTTATTTTTAAAATGTAAGAAGTAGAAGGTGATTTGTTGTCTAAAGAATAATTTCTCTAGTAAAGTAAAGCCAATATTTGTACTTCAGTAATGAAACAAAGTATTTGGTCTTTGTTAGTTGACGCCTCTGGGTGTAACAGCTGGAAGCTGCTTCTCCAGCTGCGCTTCAGAACCGACCAATCAACCAGCACAACGAGAACAGGAAACACATGCATGAAATAATGGTTCCATCCATCCTCCTAGAGCAGAGCTCTTCAACAGGGGGTCCGTGACCCCCAGGGGGTCCACAGAGGTACTGCATGGGGGTCGTGAAAGTTTTCGTTGATTAGACTTTTTTTTTTATATTCCTCCTGCAATTTTTTTCTTCAAACTGAAATGTCCTTAAATCCACAAGAGGAGCCCCCATGATCCTCTCTGCTGTTCTCACCTTCTTCCAGTCTGAGGCGCTGCAGCCTCCACACCCCACAGTGAGACAGCTGCTCAGAACGCTCTCTAGAATAGAACAGAATAGAAAATCTCTTTATTGTCCCACAGTGGGGAAATTCTGGTAGCAGCAAAAAGATCATAGAAGAAAATGTTGACACAGATGTGGACCTTAGAAAAATGTCTAAGAATAACATAATAGAAAACAGTTCAAAGATAAACAATACTACAGGTGCTGGTCATAAAATTAGAATATCATGAAAAAGTAGATTGATTTCAGTAATTCCATTTAAAAAGTGAAACTTGTATATTATA